TAGACATTTAAACCATTACAAATATTTACACTGTTGGATCAGATTTAACTCGAGCATCGTGCTCGGCAACCAGTCGCCTCAGATCGTTCCTGCAAGACAAGCGCCGCTCGTATCTCATCTGGAGGACGCTCTCCTTCTCGCTCTGCCTCTTCACCTCCTCTTGGAACGCCTCGATCCGGCGGGGAGCGATAAGCTGCTCTTGCTGGTGCAGCGATCGATAGCACTGCAGCTCCGTGCCCAGCGTCTCCGCCTCCTTGAAAGCCGCCTCGATCTGCTGCCACAGCCCATCGCCCCTCGTCTGGAAGTCAATCAAGTTAGAGAGGCTCGCAAGAACGAACACCACGTAACGTACCTTGTAGCCTCCGGTTAGGACAGAGATCTTTTGCTCCAGCTTTAGAGCCTTCTTCGTGTGACCATCTATGTGCTTCTTCACGGCCTCAAACTCGTATTGTGCCGCGGTCAGCCGCTCGGCTGTGCTTGCGAGAGTCGCACGCTCGTAGACGTTCTTCTGAGGGAAGTAAGTCAAGTCATCAGCTAAAGCATCTCGGACAGCAGTGTAGTCAGCGCCTTCGTGACCGAGAGAAGCCCTCACGAGCGTGATTTCCTCTTCTATTTCCCGCGCAGCCTGTGCCAAGGGAGTGTAAGAACGAAGTAACCATCGCAAGTAAAACACGCATACCTCCTTCAACTCTTGTTCGTCCAAGTCCTCCAGCTCGGGTATCACAGGCGGAGACTTGCCAGACTTGTCCGACATGGGGTATTTCGCGTTGTCGTGCTCCAACAAGGCGACTAGCTCCTTCTGGATAAGCGCCTTTGGATCACCCGCTTCCGCGTGCCGAGGGATAGTGTTCCTTATCAGCTCCACCGTTGCTGGCGGTGGCCTTGGCAATCCTCGCTGCAAGACTTTACTCCTCTTCCGGAGGACAGCAGCTTCTCGAGCGTCCTCTTCGGCTTGAGCATTTGCAATCACGTCAGCCATGTCGGCCTCCATCTCCTCGTCGGCTTCTTCTTGCTCCGTAGGAACGCCGAGAACGCTAATCTGGTACAAGTTCTTCGCGTTAGGCAATCCCTTGAGCGACGCCTGCAGGTTCCTTCTCGCTTCTGCCTGCCTCAACTTCTCGGCCTTGGGATTGTCAGCTGCGAGTTCCAATCCCTCGTTGATGTGGAACTCGTCCCGTATCGGTGTTCCCTTGGGTGTCATTGCAAAAGACGTCTCCCTGGGAGTACTTCCGATTCGAGGAGTCGATCCTACTCCTCCCGGCGTCGTGAGAGGTGTAGCAATCACATTTGGAGTCTGGACCTCCCGTTTCTTCGGCGTCACCCCCGAAAAGTCGGACGGATGAAGCTCCGGGTTCTCACCACCAAAGAGAGGAGTTTGCGTCTCCCTCAGCCTGAGAAGATTCTCCGCCTCCATCATGATGGCGTCGCCTTTTCCACCCGGAGTTCTCTGAGGAGTCCTCGCCGGAGTCATCCCTGCTCGAGGAGTCTGATTGTAGTTGGCGACAAGTGCTCGAGTAGCGCTGCTCCCTTCGTCCTCTCCAGGTAGATTGTCCGCCGAGGAGCTCATCTTGACAATCTCCTCGAGCTCCCTGTCGGAAATCTGCAGCGCCGGTAGCATCAACTTGGTCCTCTTCCTCACAGCCTCCGGATCGTTGAGCTTGCTAATTTGCATGATTGCCGATGGAGCGTCCTGCCTCTGAGCGATCTTGTTCCGAGCAGCGTCCTGCTTGCGAAGCTGCGCCTCGATGTCCGACCGCCTCCTCCCTTCCAGCTCTTCGATGTTGGTCGGGAAACGCGGCTGCGCTACAGACCTCTCTTCGTTGGAGACGTCGTAAAAGCCCGGAGGGGGTCTCTTCTCGAAAGGAATCTCCTCATTGTAGTCGATGCCTTTGAACTTCCTCTTGCGGAGACGAGACCCAATGCCGGCCGCTTTGAGCTCTCTCCTCTTTTGTAGCGCCGCCAGCCTCCTTGCCTCCTCCAGCTGCTTCTCCCTGGCTTTCCTCTTCGCCTTCTTACCGCGAGTGTTTGCCAGCCTCGCCCTTGCCTCGGAAAGCATCTCCTTTTCGTCCTCGTCCATGTCGACTGGATCGGGCCTAGCGGGCTTGGACTCTGGATTGGGATCGATCTCACCCGGCCGGAGCTTGCGAGGATCATCAGCCGGCTCGTAGCTCTCGTCCTTGTAGCACGCCGCATCGAGCAGCTTCTCATACCTTTCGAGACACTGAGCAGGAGTTCTCCCAACGATGGGAGCGATCGTTCTCCATTGCGTTGGCATGAGCTTGGCGAGGTGAAGGAGCTTCTCGTCTTCCTCGCGGGTCCATTCCGTCTGGCAGGGAAAGGCAGATCCGTGAGAAAAAAAGAAATCCAGGGAAGAGGGATTCGACTCACCTTCTTGATCGATGGATCCAGCCACTCGTACCAGCGAGCCTTGCACTGCTTGGCGGACTTCCTGACGAGTAGAGAGGAGATTCTAGCCCACTGATTCTTGCCATATTTCATCACCGCGGCTTTGAGGATCTCATCCTCCGTGTTCTTCCACACCCCGCCTTTGATCATGATCCTCATCTTGGCGGAAGGCGCCTAGCCAGCAGCAGGAGTGGAGTGACGAGCGCCGCTAGAGGGAGAGCGCCCGGTAACCCTAGAAACTCTAAACCCTAAACACAAAAAAATCTTGTCATGGATATACCAGAATAATCTGTACGACATTGTGTACGAATAACTAAGTAAGAATCTTCGCGAAGCTTTAGTCCACAAAATATGATGGAGGATCTGGAGGAGATTTGGAACCTGGAGAAAGAAAAGGAGGAAGCAAAATGTGACAGGAAAACTCTCAAGGAAACTTTACCAGAGGAAGAAATCCATGATCCAGCGACGCACACATCCACACTATCACTGTTAAATGCGGTGGCTGTGAAATTCGGTGGCCGCGAGCAGTCCATCTATCCATGATCAAGCTCGAAGCTCGTCAGAGAAAAAAACGAGAAAGAAGAAATCTATTCACTTACAGAGTGAGTAGTATCCCATCCAATGTGAGCAATGTGCTTGACATCTGTGGGATAGCCGATCTCGATATCACTTCTTTCTGCGAGATGTGTCAGTAAGTTGGAACAGTGACAAGTTGAAGCACGTACCAAACAAGTGTCGCAATCTTCGCAATCCCTTGAACTTGAGCCTTTGCCTCTTGCGTCGTTCTTGGTGTAATGACATAAGAACTTCTGCCACGGGAGAAACGAAAAGAACATTTATGAGACTCGACCAACCAAACATTGTCAGTGAGGATGCCGCTTACTTGGAACGGCAGCATTTTGAGCTTGGCTGCAGGAGGAGGAAGTGATTTTTGTGGCTAGATCGTTGATAGCCCTCTGAATTCTAGCTTGCGTTTCCTGCGCGGCTTTGCGATTGCTGAAACCAAACCCCTTGTGACTGCCATTCTAGCAAGCGCCACGAATCAAGCATTAACATACCAAACTGAGTAGAACGAACAAACCTCGTGACGGAGTACAAAGAATTGTTGCGACAAGGTACTAAACACTTGGGGATCACGCACGGTGTACTCAAACAAGAGCTGACCGTCCTGACAACAGAGAGAAGTCATAAAAATTCAAGAACAAAAACTATTCTTACCAGGAGATCACGCAGCTGAAGCCGCACAAACGCGTTCTCAAGCACCCTCATGTGTAGCTCTCCTATCAGAGCTCTAGAGTGCCACGAAACACTTCCTTGCGCTGCCTCGAACATGAGAACCGGACACTTAGCCTGCGAGAAAGTCTCAATCTTAAGAAACCCACCAAAAACCAACAAGAGATCCTCACACATACCAAAAAATTCGGCGTCTCCATAGCTCCCTTGTGTTGTTCTTCCGCTATGGCTCGAGCTGGAGAGCATAGATCAAACTTTCCTTTGGTGTTTTGTCGACTGCGATGAACAGCCCCTGACACGTGGAATCCATCCGAGGGTCCATCTCGAGCTTGCTTTGCTTGGTTGTAAAAAGTGAGCTACCTGTGGACTGCTCGTCTCATCACTTCTTTAGTGGAGCAAAGAGCTTGGAAATCTCTCCACTTTCGGCCAGTTCGCTCATCACGTCAGCTCCACCAACAAATTCACCCTTGACGAAGACTTGCGGGATCGTCGGCCACTGGCTGTAAGACTTGATGGCTTCTCTCACACCAGAGTTGTGTTCTTCGTCCAAAACGTTCACTGTCTCAAAGTCCACGCCTTGCTGCTCGAGGATGGTGAGCACCCGGTGAGAGAAGCCACACTGTGGAGCGGTCCTGGAGCCTTTGATGAAGGCGACGACGTTGTGGGTCTTGACGACGATGCCGATGAGCTCCTCGAGCGTGATGGTCAGCTCCTTGTCCCGCGATGGCTTCATCTTTAGATCGTTCTTGGCTTTCTTCTTTGCAGTCCAGGTGGTGTTCCCGGGAGAGTTTCCACTGGGAACACTGCCAGTAGCTTTGATGTGCTCTTCCACCCAAGCTTGCCATGCCTGCTTAAGTTCTTCTCTATTCGCGCTCTCCACCACAGCCACCTAAAGAAGGACGATAAACAATGAAGAAAGATTTACAAAGAATGGATGAAGCATTACCTTGACAGCGCCACAGAGCTCTGGCAAATCCCTGGCATGGCCCTGGACGCTCGTAGAAATCCTCCTAGACATCCCTACGAACTGGAGCTCGCCTTGCTTGTCATAGATCGCATAGACTCCTTGCGCGGCAGGGATCTTGCTAAGCTCTTCCGGAACGATGCTCGAGCTCTCTACCTCCGAAAGCTTTCTAACGCTGCTACACACGATATTTCTAGCGATTCTCCTCGGATTCTTGCTGCGAATTCCGGCACTAGCGCTAAATCTCAAGCCAAGAACCTGTTTCTCGCCAATGCTGTGCGCGCTGCGCCGAGGTACCGGAGAGACGATGCCTGGGATGCAATGCGAGAGGAAACCGATCGAGCCGGCCGCCATTTTGGCTCTTCTCTAGCTCAAGAACCCTAACAAAATATTTTGATGGGCATTTGGATAGCTCGCTATGGCAGCGCGTTGTGGAGACGCTGCTAGGGTTTGTAGCGTCGCGGAATCGGCCGCATTCTACCAGGTACGCCTCCCGCGATCGCCTCTCAACGTCCGGTTCTCGATTGGATGGGACAGTACTACCCGGTCGATCGCGAAATCCACGACCAGGACGAAGCTACTGGTTCCAGCCGCGACAAAGGTCCGCCGGAAGAAGCCAGTGGATGAAGCACAGGATCAAGGATTTTTCCAATTCGATGCCAGGAGCCAAGTGGAAGCTCCACTGGGAGCTCCAGCGGTGGAAGAGGACGAATCACAGGAGCTTGATCTCACAGCCCAGGCAGAGGCCATTGCATCGTCCCTCGATCGAAATGGCGTCGTGGAAACTGTGAGATTTCTCGACGGTGCTTCACTGTCGCCCATCCTCGTCGGTCCAGTGCTCAAGAGAACAAAGAGGTGTGAGGCCGCGCTAGAGTTTTTCCAGTGGTGCCGAGAGCAGGATGGCTTCAAGCACAGCCTCTACAACTACAACTCGATGCTGGCTTCGATGGTGGTGAGCAAGAGCGTGGCTCTCGAGAATATCTACTCGCAGATGCTAGAAGATGGTGTTGTTCCAGACCGGGATAGCTACAATCTCTTGGTGAGAGGATTGACCAAGCTGAGCAGCGTGGATCAAGCTCGGGCGATGCTGAGCACGATGGTGGGCGAAGGCTACGATCCAGACGTGGTGACTTGCGGGCTCTTGGTGGACAAGTTTTGCGAGATGAAGAGAGTTGGCGAAGTTTGCGAGCTCTTCCAGGAGCTCGAGAGCAATGGTGTTGCCGTGGGGATGCTGGCCTACAACGCCATCCTCAAGGCTCTCATGTGCTCAGGAGACTTCGATGGAGGATTCAAGTTCTCGGACATAGCCGTCGGCGATGGCTCCCTCCCTCACGTCCTGGCTTACAAGACGATGCTCGACTGCCTCATCAAGACCGGAAAAACTCGCGAGGCCTCCGAGGTTGTGGGAGAGATGATAAAGAAGAGCGTCCCCGACGGGATGACTTACACGGCGCTCATCAGCGTCCTCTGCAAGCACAACCGGGCCGACGATGCGATGAAGGTGTTCGACATCATGGTGGAGAAGGAAATCGTCCCAAACGTGGACGTCTACACTTCGCTCCTGGCCGCGCACTGCCGGACGAGAAAACTGGACGGAGCTTACAGATTGTTCGTGGAGATGATCCAACGAGGCTACGGTCCGAGCGCCAGCACGTATGGTTTGCTCCTGCGCTGCCTTTGCAACGGCGGAAGATCCTACCTCGCTTACGACATCCACTCGTCGATGCGATCTCGCGGCCATGTCCCGGACGAGAACACTTACGCGTCTCTCATCTATGGCTGCTGCATGGCCGGGAGGATCACCGAGGCCAAAGTTCTGTTCAAGGAAGTTCTAGAGGGCGAGAAAGCCCAGCTCGACGCCGGGATCTACAACGTCCTCATCGAGGGTCTTTGCCGGGCTTCCAAGGTGGAGGAAGCGCTCGAAGTCACGGCAGGGATGGTGGACAAGGGATGCATTCCAACGCTCCAGACTTACAACGCGCTCATCATGGGCTTCTTCAAGGCCAACGAGGTGGACAAGGCGCTGCAGCTCTTCCGGGCGATGGAGGAGAAGGGATTCTCGCCAAACACGATGATCTACAGTACTTTCATCGATGGGCTGTGCAAGGTGGGCAAGATCAACGAGGCGCACGAGTTCTTCCAGCAATCCGTGGAGCGAGGCTGCGTCCCGGACAACGTCACTTACAACGCTTTGATCCGGGGCTTGTTTGGAGCAAACAGGATGGACGAGGCTCACAGGCTCTACCGGGAGATGGGAGAGAGGGGCTACATTGCCGATCGATCGCTAAGAACTCTGGCATTCCAACGCTCGCGAGAAGAACAAAGCTTTCACAGTTAGACGAAGATTTAAATATACCACGTGGCCGGAGAATATTCTCTAGGGTTTATGTGAAGAGCCCTAATTTGATGGATCGGATCTAAGCGGAGGTGTGTCGCTTCTTCTAGCTCTGGATCGATCGCGATGAATCTGCGAATCTATGATCACGCGCAGATTGCGCAGCGGAGGCTCCTGGAGCGAGAACAGGTAGGCGTTTTAGCTCGGTTCTGGTTGTGATTGAGGCTGTGGTGTGCTCCAGGCGTATGCGGAATCCGTGGCGGATGATCTTGGCGAGGAGCTGAGCTTGCCTGGAGAGAATGCGGCCGGTAGGGGCGGGGAGAGCGAGGAAATCGAGCAAGCGTCGGTGAACACGCAGATCTCCGATTCGAATGTCGGGTTTCGGCTCTTGCAAAAAATGGGATGGAAGGGAAAGGGGCTTGGGAAAGACGAACAAGGTACTTGTATTCCTCTTCTTTCTTCCAGACTAGATTTTTTTGCGCCTCTGCAAACAGGGATAGTGGAGCCAATCCGAGCTGACAGCCGAGATCCAAAGCTTGGAGTTGGGAAGCAAGAGGAGGATGATTTCTACACGGCCGAGGCGAGCATCCATCGGAAGAAGATGGAGTCGGAAACATCGGAAAACGATGAAGAGACTGCGAAGAAACGCGAGGTATGCCAAAAACTCTCTTTGCTTTTCTTTCACTCTGTTAGTTCTCGGTCCCGATTGAGTGTCCGTAGCTCTAGCTGTTTGCTTTGTTTTTGGAGGATGCCTTTTGAAAGTAAAGTGCATGGGGGGGATTTTTTTTTTTGTGGAAAGGAATGAGGAATGAGGTCTGGGCGTTACTGGTTCGAGCTTTATTACCATGGTGGCCTCTCGGCTCCGTGGCCATGCTGAAAACGTTTAGGTGGAGGCAGAGCGCGAGCTCAAGATCCAGAGCGAAGTCAAGGAGATCCGCAAGGTGTTTTTCTGCGAGCTTTGCAACAAGCAGTACAAGTTCGCAGTGGAGTTTGAGACGCATCTCAGCTCCTACGATCACAATCATCGAAAGGCAAGCCTTGGTTCTTCGTTGGTCTTGGATTCTGTGCCATCTAACTAGCGCTGTGGCGTTTGATCACTCGCAGCGATTTAAAGAGATGAGGGACCTACACTCTAGCCGGGACCGCGACGATCGCCAGAAGCGTGAACAGCTCAGGCTTGACAAGGAGATGGCGAAGCGACAGTGAGTATTCTCCCCCCTTGAGTGTGGTGGTCCTCGAGAGCTTTATGATTGACGCGTCACTCTCTTTTCCAGAGCCGAGGCTCAACGCCAGCAGCAAGAGCAACAATCCGACGCTGCGAAAGTCATCGACGCTCCCCCTCCAGACTCTACAGCAGTCTCTACAGCAATCTCTACAGCAGCGGCAGCACCAGTGCCTGGAACAGTGAAGTTTGGATTCTCATCCAGAGCAATCTCGACAAAGGTATGCGTTTCTTCTTCTCAAAAAGAAATTTTTTTTCTCTAGCGAGACAAAGTCTCCTCTCCTTGAAGGTTCTACCGGATGGCGCTGCAGCGAAAAAGCTCAAAGTCTTCGCCAAAGTTCCATCCGTCTTTGGTGAAGATAGCGACTGAGAAGAAGCGTTTTTCTTTTCTCCCCGTGTATATTGTCAAAAGTTGTACGTAATGGGACGTGTACTATACCTGTGGACTCGTGACCACTTTTGGCGCCAAGCGTCCTAGGGCTAGACCTTTGCCCCGTGATCCAGGGCGGCCGTGTAGGGGAGATAGCGAGATCCTAGCTCCGCGCTTCTAGGTTTGTGGCAGCGATTTCGATACGGCATTGGGATAGAGTGATGGATTTGCCGTGCGCGAGCCGGGATTTCGCAATGGCCGAGTGACGGCGCGCAGATCTTGGCCAGGAATCTCAGGCGGATCTTGGCCAGTAGAATCGGTAGCGCGCGATGGAAGATCATCGGCTGCCTACGAAGATCGCGAAATGGCTCTTCAAGCACGGCCAGTGCAACGGGTCGGCTGTGGTGTCGCCATTTCCAGTAGATGGGAATTCCGGGGAAGAGCTGAGTCACCGGGCTCGCAGAAGGCTTGGCAAGCGAGGCGAGGAGAAGCTTATAGGGATCCTTGGAGCTGAGAATCACGAAGAGCGACGGCAAATCAGAGCTTTCTTGGCGCAGCAGCTCATTAGAGACGATGACATGGATACAACTGATGAGAGCTCCGAGTTTGATCGGCTAGAGCGGAGAAGCCCGCTCCATGCTGCCTTCAGGCCTAGAGCGCCAGTCAGAAGCGGTGGAACTACTCCTCCTCGATTTTCCAGGCCAGCTTTCCAGCGTCAAGAAGGTTCCTCCAGTGCCACTACTAGCAGCAGCTACACAAGGAGTGACTTGTCGAGTGTTCTTCAGTACGAGAGAACGCCGCCATTGTCACCCTCGAGCGTCTACTCGGGTCAGTCACCTTCGCCTTCTTCTTACCAACATCACAGCCGAGAAAGAGTCCGTGGCAGCCATCTCCAATCGCTTTTGTGTCCTCGGCCACTTCCTCTATATCCTTCGAGCCAGCAGCAGCAGTTCCATCATTCCAGGGGCTATCCAGGTGCTCCCAGGAACGTCTTCACGAACCACCTTTACTCTCCAGTTGGTGCTGCTGGCTCTGACGAGGAAGGGATTTTTGCAAGGGCGTACCAAGATCCTCCGAGGCGTTCTTTCACTCAACCAGCCAGGCCATCGGTGACTTTCGGATTCTCGGAGCCCCAGTCTCCCTACATGTCTCCTCGGATGAACATGACGCATCAGTCTCCATATCCGGCTTACTGTCCCTCACCTCGCCCGAGAGTCGTCCTCTGCGAGAAGCTCGGCTGTGGTTCTTACTCGGTCGTCTACAGAGGAGAAAACACGTGAGCTTTCCTTCTCTTTCCTCGTGAGACTGACTGACGCTTCTTTTCTCGCTCTCTCTTGGATCTGTCAGACAAACGGGCCAACAAGTCGCAGTGAAGGTTCTCCATGACGACGAAAGGTTATCACCAAAGGTGAGCTTACATATCTGGGAGAGTGGAAATGCACACTCCACTCGAGCTCTCAATCAATGCAGGAAGTTTCTGTTCTAAGTCGGCTTGATCACGAGCACATTGTCAAGTACATCGGGACCACGACACTGGTAAGTTTTACGGTAGACTCCATAACATTTATGGAGTTCTTCGCCAGTTTTGACGTGAGACGCGCCTGACAGGGAGACGGCAGAGCTGGCATTCTGCTAGAACTCATGAAGTGCTCTCTCGCATCGGTGATAAAGGAGTCGAATGGACTGGACGAAAGTAAACTTCGTGTTTACACGCGACAAATTCTCAGTGGACTGGAGTATCTCCATCGCATGAACATCGTTCACAGGTAAAAAGGCTAAGAAGCTCGATGGCAATCTGATTGACGTTTTCTCTGGACAAGCAGGGATGTCAAGTGTGGAAATATTTTACTGGACCCCAACGGGAAAGCCAAGCTCGCAGATTTTGGTCTTGCAAAGAAGGTAAACAACTTATCTCAAGTTGGCTCTTTTTGTTCTTACAGCACAGATCACATCAGATTGATTATTCGGTTGCAAAGTCGTGCAAGGGAACTTTTGTTTACATGGCTCCAGAGGTTCTCTTGAATTAAAACTGTTTGACACTGATGTGGTCCAAATCGCAGGTTCTCTTGACAGAAGGAACCTACGGTCTCGCCGCGGACGTGTGGAGCTTGGGATGCACAGTGATCGAAATGGCGTGTGGAAAGCCGCCGTGGAGCGGTTTCGGGGTAAGATCTCTCACTTTCACTTCGTTCTTTCCTCTTTTCTTCTCGATCCCGGACATAGACTTTTCATCTCTTTAGCTCTGAGTTCCTTGGGAACTAGAGAGATTTAGCGTGGTCAGATCTTGGAACTAACTTTAAGCTGGAACTGTGGATCGCAGATGATGCCATTCTACGAGAGAATGAGAGACGGCTGCTCCCCACCGATTCCTCCCAAGATGAGCACCGAGGCCGTGAGTTTCATCAAGCTCTGCCTGACCAGAGACCCGAGACGAAGACCCAGCGCTGCGGCACTGCTATCGCATCCCTTCTTCCAAGAACGCTCTCTCAAAGTGTAAAATATGAAATAATAAAACCTCCACTCCCTCAAATTACAAATTGGAATGTTCTATAAGATTCTTGCCACGTGGCAGCGGAGGTGTTATCTAGGCACCGGCATGGACTGAAGCTCCATTAGAAAACGAAGCCCTTGCTCGACGCGGGTTTCGATCGGGTCAAGCGCGAGCGCGCGTTGATAGCCGCCGGCTACCGGTGGATCCCTCCTCGCGGCTACATTTTCCAGTGAAATATCGACAGATCTCACTCGGCGATGCGGCAGGGATGCCACATTTCGTCCGTTTCCAGCGCCATCCATCAGCGGCAGCTTGTTCTTGAGCCCCGAGCCCCGACCCCCCCGATCGAGCTGGGGTTCTAACAGGTTTGGCGGGATTCTTGAGGTTTGGCGGGATTCTCTAGCAGCTTCTGGTTCTTGATCTCTGGCGTTGGAAGCGTAGCAGATTTTCAAGAGGTTTAGAGAGATTTGTGGTGGGGTGGGATATTCAAGCGCCATGGCTGGCCAGATCAGGGCTGTTTGTTGCCCTCTCTTTAGATTCCATCTACACGACTGGCTCGCGATAATCTTTCTTTTGGGCATGGAGGCGCTGCTGCTTGTCATCCATCCCTTCAAGAGATACATTGGCGAGCCGATGATCGACGACTATAAGTTCCCTTTCAATAACAACACTATCCCCGTTGCCGCCGTTCCGGTAAGCTCGCGTGTCTCTTTAGAGACTAGGTCTTCTGAAAGATTCTTTGCTCCACAGGTCATAGCTCTCGTCATTCCGTTGATCTTTATCATTGGGTACTACATCCGGAATAGAGATTTGCGGGATTTGCACTACGGCTTTCTCGGTAAGCTTATTTTTCTTTCATCTCTCTCTCGAACCAAGAGAAGAGCTCGGACTAAGTAAACTATGTTGTTCTTGTTTTTTACTACAGGCTTGCTTTTCGCGGTGCTTATTACTGCTGTTCTTACTGATGCGATCAAAGACGCAGTTGGACGTCCAAGGCCTGATTTCTTCTGGCGGTGTTTTCCAGATGGCATACCGGTAAGTCCTGCTAGACAACCAAACCTGGATCTTACTCGTGAAATGCTCCACAGTTATACACGACGAGAACTCGGGAAGTTATGTGCACTGGTGACAAAGCCGACATACGTGAAGGCTACAAAAGTTTTCCAAGTGGCCACACATCATGTAAGGCATCTTGTCTTGCGATCGCCTTGCGTGCTTATTAATCCTTTCTACAGGGTCTTTTGCAGGGTTGGGGTATCTTTCCCTCTATCTTGCGGGAAAGATATGTGCGTTCGATCGCCAGGGTCGTGTTGCCAAGCTGATCATTGTCGTCGTCCCGTTGCTCGGTGCAACGTTGGTTGGGATATCACGCGTTGATGACTATTGGCACCATTGGCAAGACGTGTTTGCCGGGGCTATCATAGGTACACTGTGTTCTACTTGGTTTTTTTTTTCTTTCTTTTTGTGCTTAATTCTATTACATTCCACAGGCCTGACTATGGCACATATTTGCTACAGACAACACTTTCCTAGTGTGTACGATGAATACAGTAAGTTTCGATTTCCGAGTGTTTGCAAACGTAGATTCTTATCGTGGCATCTCCAGGCTTTTCTCCATATCCCGAGAGACGCGCTCCGGCCGACTGGCCACCACCACGAGCTAACGGTAGCGTTAGAGATCTAGAGAACGGGAGAGATGTGGAGATCTCCAGATTATAGCTGCGACTGTGATGGGTGTATACTCTGCTGGTATGCGTTTAAATTATCAACTCTTTTTTTTTTTGAGCCCAAGCACTCTCGCTCGGTTGTAAAAGCAGTGACATGACATACGCACTTTGTGTCACCTCGGACCTTGCCTGTTGGACGAGTCTTCGTCAAGAATTCCTCTTCCTCGGGGTGGGGCTCGCCGCCGCTGGATCAAAGATTCCAAACGCGAAGTAAGGGCTTCTCCAACTTTTCCTGTAGCGCTTTCCTAAAGCAAAAGTTTTTATCCTCGCAGGACTTTTTCAAACAAGATTCTGGTCTATGGTCATATGCAATGATCAAAGTTGTCTGTGTTTAGACAGTCTGGTTGGATTGATAATATGAACAAGAATTTGGTGTCTGATTGCATTGCTTGATTGGTGGTTGTATACAAATCTTGCAGCTTAGGCAATTGGAACCCGTGTAGTCGTTTTTACTTAGATTCATTTGATTCTCTATAATGCCCTGTTGTAGCATTTTCTTCGAATAAAGCCTCCTGTTTACTTTAAAAAACAGGAGGATATAGAGACAATTGTTATTTTCTTTTCAGCTTAGGTTCGAACAAGAATAGAACTCATTATTTATTTCAATATAAAAAGTAACCAAAGTAACTTTAGAAGCATCTCATCACGATGATGCTAATTCACTAATGCTGATGGGAGAAACATCACCTGAAGTGGCACCAGTCCACCATCGATGAGCAGCCATACTATTAAATGCATCAGTTTGGTGAATACCATCCCAAAAAGCATACTTTGTTCTATCTGGACAAAGCCTAGCTCCAGAATTGCAATTTAAAGTATGGGATCCTTGTGGACAACAAGCACTGGTTGAATCAATGAATCCTGTTTATTCCCAAAATATAAATAGTATTAGATTGTTTAATTAAAATAAAACTCACCATAAGATTGTGGATTGTTGTGAACATCTACCATTAATCCATAAAAATTGGTCATTACAAATTGAGCATCGTTATGAGAATTTCTTAAATTCTCAAGAGCTGATTGTAACATATTATTATATATTTGAGCTCCTTGCTGTGCAATAGATGCACATTGTCCACCAACCACATTCAATGGAATGCATCCAACAGCACTTAATCCAACTATAATAAACTTTCTAGCACCCAAATTATATAATGTCTGAAATCAAATAAAAATAATAAAATCAAAAATAAAATTGAAAATAAAAATAATCATATTTACCTGGAGTTCATTAACAAAAGTATTAATAATGGTTTGCTCATCAGATTGTGAAATCCTCCTTGTTCTTTGATACATATTATTAATATCATTGTTTCCTGAGCAAATATAAAAAATAGATTTTGCAACAAGAGTAGATGCATTAGATGATCCAATCATTTGAACCATTTTTTGTTTCAAACTCCTAAAGTCATCAATTTGACTTGCAAGAGCTTGTCCTCCTCCCTTTAAAATCACAAACTTATAAAGTTAAAATCAACAAAATTAATAATTCTTACTGTATGAGTTTGTGAAAGGATTCCAGAACCAGCAGAACCAAAATTTGCACCTTGAAGAATATTATTTCCAGCTTGGAAATAAGCTAGTGGTAATGGTAATCCCAAATATAATGCTAAAAGAAAGAATTATAAAATAACATTCAATTATAAAAACAGCAAACACTTACCAATATATTCAACAAGCAAACGACCATTACAAAATCAACTTGCTTGACCTCCAGGAAAATCAATACCATAAGGATAACCAACATGAGCATTATCACCCGCATCTACTAGAGAATCCCCAAATGCAAATAAAGCTGGGACAAATGAATTCATTTGCTGAGAAAACACCCTCAAACCAGAAAACATAGCAAACACAACAAAGAAAAGAAATGCAAAAGTTGCCATGTTGTTAAGTGTAAAGAACAATATTTTGTGAGATGAAAACTTCAGCTTTTAAACCACAAAATGTTATAATTTTAGCGATCTATTCCAAGTAAAGATATATTATATACACGATTACATATTATTAACAAAGTAGGCTATGACGACTACTAACTTTTTAAAGCAAAAGTTTTTATCCTACGGTTAAAAAAAATACCTTTTTACGCAGCAGTATAAAAAAGGGTCGCACTCCTGTAACCCTCGTCATCAAATGGTGAATCGCTACGTTTCAGTGGAGCACGTCCTCGCGCTGCTGCAAAACTCGGCGGAGATGCTACCCATCGGCGCCAAGGATTTGGAAAAGCTCATGGACGTGGTGGCCAACATGCTCCCCAGCAAGAGCAAGGATTTTGTGGGAGCTCCAGCCAGCGTCGTCGAGAACAAGCGACTAGTGGGCGATGGCGGCGCTCAAAGCTTGAAGAGAAAGGCCTTGGACTTGGAGGGCTTGGACAAGAACGATTACGCGCTGCTGGAAGAGGCCAGCGCTGAAAGCTTGAAGAGGAAGGCCTTGGAGGAGGAGGAGGAGGCGAGCGCCAAGTTCACGGAATCGAGAGCTTGCAAAAGGTATAACCTCAGGAAGAAGAACAAGAAGCAGCACACGAGCCTTTGCCAGGAGTTTTTCTTGTGCAAGTGCCACTGAGTAGATCTCGCAGTGTAAAGATGTCTTGAATCGAGAGAAACTTGGAGAGTTTACCCCACATGTTCTTCCAACTTTGGATGATCAAACATCTTTCGTGTTTCTTGTCAGCTTTGCAATGAGTTCTCAAAGGATCTCATGGAAGATCTAGCGAAACAAAGTCTTAGAACCTTGTGCGACTTTCCAGGAGAAATCTAAGCGCTTACTTTCTGTCACTGATGCCGTAGAACTCGGCCAGGTAGTCGAGCGCCTCGGAGTTGTTCCTGCAAACTCTCCACAGCGCCTCCACTTCTCCCTCGGCCACAGTCCCCCACTCTCTGCACGTAGCCAGGAACTCCAGCAAGTGATCGTAGAATCCATCGTAGTTTATCAACAGGAACGGCACCGGGAAGCTGGAGCCGATCCGCCGCAGCTGGATCAAAGTCAGCACCTCGAAGATCTCGTCCAAGCTTCCAACGCCGCCGGGCAAAGCCAGGAACGCGGTGCGATCGGACGGAGCGTTACGTACTCCCGCATCAACGAGGCCGTGCTTTCGCGCTGAGAAGAATCTAATTGCAAGGATGGTATTCTTAGTTTCTAGAAAAACCAAGAGAGAGCTTGTTTACCTGCAGGTGAGGTAAGTTCCCGAGACCATGTAAGGATGGCTCAAAGTGTTCGTCCACACACCGCCCTCGTTGTGGATTCTAAATCCTCCCACCGGCTTCCCGGCCTCGAGAGCTCCTTTGGTGGCAGCGTCCATTAATCCTGGGCCAGCTCCACACCAGGACGTGCAGTCAAGCAGCAAAGCAACCTGGGAAGAACTCGAAGAACTTAGAAACTTGCCATGATCTTAGAAACCATGCTTTTCTCACCTCTCGCCCGAGCTCCATCGCTTGAAGGAAGTGAGGATGGTCTGGTTTTGTTCTCGCTGATCCCAGGTACACGGCTCCACGGCCAAGCTTGTGCACGAGATCATAGCAGCTCAAGATCTCCCTTCTCACCTGGAACAGCACAAACAAGCAATGTCAAGCTCTCTCGCTCGAGCTCTGGAAGAGTTACCTCGTCTGCGCTGCTCCGGCTCTCAAACTCTTGAATGTAAGTTGGAGAGCTCTTCGAACAGCACAGTGCCTGATTGCCCGACTTGGGCGATGCATTTGATGGCCGAGCAGCGAAGATTCTTCTCCTCCTCGTCTTGTTGGTCATCGAGATCTCGCCTCCCAGAGCAGCAGCAGTAGCAGCAGCAGTAGCAGCCATGGCGTCCATCCCAGCAGCTAAGCGACTGATTTCTCGATGCCACAAAACGAAGCTTTAAAATAATCCTCCTCGAACTCTCAAACTCACCACCTCACCCGAGGTGGCGCTTGATCAAGCTCATCACGTCCCACTCCTTCTTCTCCGCGAGAGCTCCAAGCATGAGGATGGACTGCGCGCCTTCGCCGCCAGGCTCGAGCTCGCCCACCATCTCCGCAGCGCGCTCCGCCCGCTCTACGTCGCCATGTATTCGGCACCCGCTCAGCAGCGTCATCCAGCCCGTGACGCACGGCTCGAACGGCATCGTCTCCACGAGCTCCTCGGCGTCCTGGAGCCAGCCGCAGCGTCCCAGCAGGTCCACCAGGCACATATAGTGCTCCCACAGCAGCTCCACCTCGCGGTGGTGATCCACAAACTCCACGAAGTAGCCGCGACCATCCTCCACTCGCCCGGCGTGGCTGGCACCGATGACGAGCCCGATGAGCGTGATGCTACTGGGGTCCGTCCCGTCCAGCACCATCTCGCGGTACACCGCCACGGCACTGCCCAGATGCCCGAACTGCGCATACGCCGCCACCATCGAGTTCCAGCACACCAAGTCCCTGTGCCGGAGCTCGTCGAAAACTCTCCTCGCGTCGTCCAGGCAGCTACACTTCGCGTACATGTGGATGAGTGCCGAGCACACCACGGCGGCGCCGCTCCACTCCTCCGCCACCACCCTGGCGTGGATCCGCCGCCCCTCCGCCAGATCCCCCAGCGCGGCACACGCCGAGAGCGCGTTGGCGTGCGTGATGCAGTTGGGCTTCACCGCCGGGGAGGATGACTCCATCGCCTTGTAGAGATCGAGAGCTTGGCGATGGTGGCCGCCGTGCGCGTACGCCGCCACCATGGTGCTCCAGCTGATGACGCTCCTGCGACGCATCCCATCGAAGAGCTTGCGGGCCTCAGCGATGGATCCACAGCGAGCGTACATGTTGAGCAGCGTGTTGTCTAGCGCTACGTCGCTGTGGAAGCCGCTCTTGAGGATCTGGAGGTGGAGCGCGCGCCCGGCGTCGATCGCCGCTGGACCGATGGCCGCGCACGCCGCCGCCACTGACGAGTACGTGAAGGAGTCCGGGCGGATGCCCCGCCGCTCCATCTCGCGGAAGAGATCCAAGGCCCGGCGAGCGTACAAATGCCCGTTCTGGGCATTTGCTGCGAGCATGGCGTTCCAGGCCACCACGTCTCGATCGGGCATCTTGTCAAAGATCTCTCTGGCCTCCTCGGGTTCTTTGCATTTTCCATACATGTTGATCAGCGCGGTGTGGACGATCACACTGGAAGTCGTCACCCTCGCGTGGATCTTCCGCCCGGCGGCAAGATCCCCGAGGTTGGCACAAATGCCGATCACGGTGGCCACGAGCACGTCGTCGATCTCCACGCCGGTGGCGGACATCTGCTCGTAGAGATCCAGCGCCGCGCGGTTGCGCCCGTTCTGGGCGTGCGCTGCCAGCACGATGCTCCAGGTGAACTTGTTGCGCTCGGGCATGGCGTCGAAGAGGGCGCGGCCGGATTCCAGCGCGCCCAGCTTGCCATACATGTGGATGAGGAGATTGGCGAGGAAGACGTTGCTGCCCAGTCCCAGCTGCTGGATCAATCGGTGCGCCCCGATCCCGCTGCCCAGATCCCTCTCAGCTACACACCTGCGCAACACGGCGGCCATTTGGGCGATCGAGGCGTCGCTGCTCTTGAGCTCCTCCAGCCACGCCTGGAGGCCAGAGCTGGATGAGCTCTCTGCGATGGCGCTGGCGCTGGCGCTGGCCATGGGCGATGGTGGCTTGCTCCATTTTTTGGGGCGCTCGCGCTCGTCGAGGCTGTCCTTGCGCGAGTAGCTCCCGCCAAAGAGGATCTCCTGCTCCGCGTCCTGTAGGGCGCCGATGGATTTGCGCTGGAGGGGCGAGCTGCGGGAGGCGAGCCTTCGCATAAGTGACGGCCGAATATTCCCCAAAATATTGACAAAATATGTTAGTCAACGCCGCCGGCCAGTCAACAAAAGTCAGACCAATAACTGCTGTCAATGAGCTTTGACTAAGAGAATCCGGAACCGCTGCCAGAATATCCTTAAGTCAACGACGCCGGCTGGTCAAAGAAAGTCAGCGCATCTTGGACCAACAATCACGTTTGTTTTGTCTACACTATATATAATGTGTGCGTGGGCGGTGCATGGTTGGAAGCCGCGGGTTGGAAATCACAAAGAAATGTGTACGGACAAACAGAGTAGGAGGTGTGGCTTTGGGCCATGGGTGGCCCAAGGGCCGGCAAATCGCAGAAAGACATCCCGGGTACGATCCCGGGCAGGGCACCAGCCTGTCACGCGTGGACGCGAGGGCCGCTCTCCAATCCACTGGAATTTCTCGTGCCGGACGCCAGCGCGTCTATCAAATCGGGCTGTTGCCACGTGGGGCCCCTCCAGCCGCCGGATGCGCGTATCCGACGGCCGCGGGCCGGACTCCAAATGGGCTCCTCAAACTGGTTAACTGATTTCTCAGTGGCGAGAATAAGTATCAGGGCGTGCGGGCGAGGGTTTCGTCTGGGCGCGTTGGGAGAGGAGAGGGCGAGGGAGGAAAGAGGGTCCTGGGGATCGATCGAGCGAGGCCGTGAGAGATCCAGGGCGGCGGCGCGCGCGCGTGATTCCTCCGGGGCCGGCGGTAAGCCCCCTCTGGTCGATTTCTCCCCGCGGGTTAGGGTTCGTGCGTGGTCTCATGTTGGATAGCTGGCCACGGGCTTTAGAAGGCTTAGATCGCGTGAGCAGAGGCTACAGGAGAGGGCGGGGTTCTTGGCGCTCCAAGCTAAAGCGACCCATCTGGAATCGCCGGGAGAGATAAGAGGAGATAGAGATAGAGATAGAATTTGTGGCAGCACACACACACACAAGGGGGAGATAGATGTCAAAATTTCCAAAGGGTGGGTCTCTCCGCATCAGGGACGTGTGGGCGAGCAACCTGGAGGAGGAGATTTCGTTCATCCGGAGTATCGTGGATGAGTTCCCGCTGCTGGCCATGGACACGGAGTTCCCGGGCGTGGTGGTGAGGCCGGTGGGTAACTTCCGGAGCTGCGCAGAGTATAACTACCAGACCCTCCGCGAGAACGTCAACATGCTCAAGCTCATCCAGCTGGGCCTCACCTTCTGCGACGCGGACGGCAACCTCCCGCGCTGCAACACCGGCGAGTACTGCGTGTGGCAATTCAACTTCCGCGAGTTCAACATCCGGGAGGACGTTTGCGCCCAGGACTCGATCGACCTCCTGTGCCACAGCGGCATCGACTTCGCCAAGAACGAGGAGCAGGGCGTGGACTCGAGGCTGTTTGGGGAGCTGCTCATGTCCTCGGGGGTGGTGCTCAACGACGACATCCAGTGGATCACCTTCCACAGCGGCTACGACTTCGGCTACCTCCTCAAGCTGCTCACTTGCCAGCCACTGCCGGCGTGCGAGGCCGACTTCTTCAACCTCATGCGCCTCTACTTCCCGGTCTTCTTCGACATCAAGTACATGATGAAGTTCCATGACAGCCTCCACGGCGGCCTCAACCGGCTGGCGGAGCTGGTCGACGTTGCGCGCATCGGGCCGTGCCACCAGGCGGGGTCGGACAGCCTGCTCACGTCCGAGGTCTACCGCCGGCTCAAGGACAGGTACTTCCTGGAATCCATGGCCAAGTTCACGGGAGTGCTCTACGGGCTGGGATCGGACAATGCCGACGCTGCTGCTGCTGCTGCCGCCGCCGCAGCCGCTGCTGCGATCTAACTAGCGGCGGAGTTGCGTGATCCATGGAAGCGACGAGAAGATCCAACAACAAGACTCTCTACACTAATGTCTGCTGCTGCTCTGTACACTTGACAGTATGGACAAAGTCCGACATTTTTCTTATACTTATCACTGCTACAATCATCTCAATGCTACATAGTCTTTATTCTTATTTCCTCCACACCCATGATTTCACATGGTTTGTTTTCTTCGTCCTTTTCTTGTGGCTGGTTTTATTTTTCTTTTTCTTTTTTTCTTCTTTTATGGTTTCTCTTTTGCTATGGTTGACTTCTCATCCAATCGAAGTGCTCTCTAGAAGTGGATTAGATCAAAATGGATAACTTTTGCTGTGATTATCACACAAGATATGCATTCACTCAATGTGCTTATGTGTGCTTATGTGCCTTCTTTCTCCTGAGATTGTAGCTTTTAAGAGGATTCTTGAGATTGTATTTTTTGGGATGAACTCTCTCTTCTTCCTCATTTAAGTACTGATGCTTTCTCTTCAAGCTTTTACCATTGCTCATGTCCATTTCTCTCTTCTCATGAACTTTGTGACTGGTTTCTTCCATGGTTGCTGTACTAGTAAATTTTGGAGGCGGCTCACAATCGATGACTTTGGAGACCAAGTCCATGAGATCTATGAAGTCCCGCAACTCATTTAAAACTTGTGCTACTGGAATGCAACCATCCTTCTGATTCGCCATACCTCACAGATACAACCCTTGGTGGAAGGTCAACTCTTTTGTATTCCTGGAGCAGAAAAGGGTCATACATCATGGAATTTCCAAAAACTTCCCTTTCAAAAAAGGTTTAAGTGATATGAGATCAATCCTGCTACATGGAATGCATAAAACCTGAGCCTGTCTTTCATATTTGCAATCCTGGCGTCCCATTAGTTGTGATCCATTCCCGCCTACCTAGTAAGAGAGAACAAGGATGGCTTTGAAAGACTTCTTCAAGACTCTAACGTTAGCCCTTGCTGCTGCCTCTAACCTTTTGGAGATACCAGAACTGAATGCTTTCTGTGACTTGTTATGGAGATGCCATTGCCAAGCTCCTGCGTGGAAAGCTGTTGGCATTGCTCACCCAGAAGCCCGTGATGGAGGTTGACTGAAGCTCTATGAACAAATTGCTAGGTTAAAGACCACCTAGTTGCTGGGATAAGTTTGTAGGGGCCAATGCCACTCAAGATGATAGAGTTTGTGGAATTATACTCCAAGTCTCGCCCCGTCAACTTTTGGGTTGTGTGTGAAGCTTGAGTTGTTGCGTTGAGCAGTAGGTGACGCTGGTTTGGAGACGAAAGTGTCGATTACAGAATTTCAGACCAAGCCAGCAGCGAGGAGAGAGGATGTTGCCAGTGCTGCTTGGCTCCCACGACCTTCTGGAGTTCATCCCTGTAGTTGAAATTCAAGGACATCACAGCCTGGTGCTTTCTTGAAAGTTCTGATGCGGGACATGGTGAGATGGTGATTGGGAGGGAGAGATGATTTTGATTTGAACAGGAGGGCCGACTGTGCTGCTGCTCCATGGTTTCCCCGAGACGTGGTATACATGGAGGTTCCAAGTCAAGGCGCTGGCGGACGCTGGATTCCACGCTGTTGCTCCAGAGTTGCGAGGCTTCGGGCTCACCGAGTGTCCCAAGGATTCATCCGGCAAGTTAAAGCTCTCGCCTCTGGGTCTCCTGGGATTGTGTGCTTGGAGGAATTGGATGGTCGGGGCATGGCTAGAGGGAGCCCAAGAGAAAATATCTTATCACGACTAACTGCATTTTGGAGCTGGACCAAGCGGTGGAGGAGCTTGAGCAGCAGCAGGGCGAACGAATCCATCGCTATTCCATTGAGTATAGAATAGGGAGGAACAAGTTTGTGGAAAACCTCGGAAAGACAATGTTTTCTCCTTGACGGTGATTTATGAAAAACAAAAAAGTTTAATTGGCTCTGGATTCGAACCTGTGACCTTGCTAATATATTTCTTCAGGTTCCAAATTAAACATTAATAGCTTCTTAACGTATCTGCTATTTTCGCAGGCCAGCTTCCTAGCTCTAGTCATCCTTTTTGCTGCTCGTCAAGCACAAGAAAGAAATCATTCTCTTATACAATGGAAAGATCTTACTGGTACATTCTTCAAGCTGTTCTCGGACATGATCACGAGCTAAGTTTCAGAAGAATCCAAAGCCATGGCAAAGAAAGTGGTCTGGCATCGGCTGGTGCAAGGAATAATCGCGAGCAACCAGCCGATGGACTCTTTGGAATTGTTTTGGCGGATGCTGACTGTGATTTTTGTTGCAGAAAACTCTGTTTGCACCATTGCCGATGCGTTCTATCCAAGATCGCGTTAAGACTGGATTTCAATTTCTTCCACATGATGATTATCATGATCATTCTTTGGATTGTGTTCTTCAGAAGGAGCATTGAAGTTTTCCTTCCTCTTTAACTTTATGTTTCATTTTTTATGTTGTAATGCTTCGTTTGGGCACTAAAGTTGTGGATTTAAGCTTTTTAAAGAGCGCATTCTTCTAGGGCTGCACTGATCGATCGGCTATGGACAAGTGTGTTGCGAGCGTGCTACTGGTGGTGGTGGAAAGTGTCCCACTGGACCAAGACCTGTGCGTCGCCCTCGGCAGGCTCTACGTCGCCCAAAAGGACTGGTTCCCGGACGACGAGGCCATCCTCGCCATCATCCAGAGCGCGCCACCACTGCACACTTTTGGTGAGTTCCACCAGCTTACGGGCCAGAAGTTCCATCGCCAGCTCGCCCGGAGGCTCGCGGATCACGGCCACATAGCGGAGGCCTTGAGCATGCTGGACGAGAGATGCGACGAGCCGACGTTCACGCAGACTCTCCTCCACTACCACCCGTACTACCCTCTCTCGATTCTCGTTCGTTATCGTCACGTCGCCACCATGACAGCGCTGGGCTACCCGCGGGACTTCAGGCTCTTCGAGATCCCCCTTGAGCTTGCGTCATATACTACATGTCAATCGCTGGAGATGTGCAACGCTGTGAAGATGCTCTTCCGGCAAATGCTGGAGGAGCACCCGAGCAGGGCACTTGGTCGCAATGTGTATAAGGGTTTGGTCTGCTATTACACTTCCGATGACTTCAGCTTCTTCCACCTCGTCCTCGCCGAAGCAAAGGCGAAGAACGCCAACATACCGGTGCATGAGATTACACTAC